AAAAGAGTTTTTCCCCTAGCGTAAGCTATTACGCAGTACTCGTTCCCTCTCTAGAGAGAACCGAGGTTACGTTAGTAACCGAGTACGTTTTCAAAAATGTTCGGTTTCAGTGCGTTTTCGTGTGGACGAATGGCCGAACCGCGTAAAAAAAGTCACGGTTATAAAAATACCCGTGTCCGTGTGGACAGGGCCTCAGAGGTCCGTTTGAAGCACAGAGAGCACTTAGTCCTTTTTAAAAAGGACTAAGCCACAGACAAAGACAGTTTCTGTGTGGTCCGAGGATAGCATTGAGAAATTAAAGGGCTGTTTTGCTTCTACTGATTGGGAACTCTTTCATGACGAGATGGACATTGAGGTGGCTACAGAAACTATAACTGATTATATTAACTTTTGTGTGGACACAGTTGTGGAGAAGAAAACTGTAACTGTATTTCCTAATAACAAAAGTTATATAACAAAAGAAGTTAAGGAGTGTTTAAATAGAAAGAAATGGGCTTTTATTAATCAAGACAAAATTGAACTAAAATCAGTCCAAAAGGAATTAAATTTGCTACTGAGGGGGGCAAGGAAAAAACATAGAGATACTATAGAACAAAACTTTAATTCAGGGAACTCCAAAAAATTGTGGGACGCTATGAAAGTCGTAACTAATATGGCACCTCCTCGAAAGAGGCTTGTAATTAGCAATGACCAACAAAGAGCAAATTACTTGAATAATTTTTTTCTTAGGTTTGAGTCACCAGTGGATCAATTGTGTACTCTGGACCACATTATATGTAATTCAGGTCAAAGGCTAGAGATAGCACCTAATAGAGTAAGCTCACAATTTAGAGGTATATGTTCCAAAAAATCCATGGGTCCTGATGGAATTTCAGCTTTTTTGCTAAAGACTTGTGCAAATGAACTTACTCCAGCATTCTGCCCTATCTTTCAGAAATCTATTGACTCACATATTATTCCATCTTTGTGGAAGAAATCGATAATTATACCTGTTCCTAAGAAAACTTGCCCAGTGGGAAATTCTGATTTTAGACCTGTGGCTTTGACTTCAAATGTTATGAAATGCTTTGAGAGACTTGTTGTAACTGTCTTAAAGGATCAGGTTAAATCATTCCTTGATCCATTTCAGTTTGCATATACGGTTGGACGGGGCACTGATGATGCTATTAACTGCATCACTCATTTGGTGAATAGTCATTTAGAAGATTCCCAGGCATATGCTTGTTTACTTTTTATAGATTTTAGTTCAGCATTTAATACACTTCAACCTAATATACTGATGAAGAAGTTGATAGAGCTAGAAGTGAACCCATTCTGCATTAAGTGGTTTTATTCTTTTTTAACTAATCGTACACAACAAGTCAGAGTTAATAATTTCTATTCTGAGATGAAAACTACCAATATAGGGGCCCCACAGGGTTATGTTAGCTCACCCTTTTTATTTTCACTATACACTAATGAGTGAGTGTGTCTCTAGTCAGGATGAGACATATTTCATCAAATTTTCTGACGACACAGCAATATTGAGCTTACTGAATAAGACAACAAATCCCTTGCAGTATTTCTCTGATGTTGACAGATTTGTCAGTTGGTGCGACACCAATTCCTTGGTTTTAAATGAAAGGAAGACTGTTGAAATGATTTTTGATCCTAGGTCTGTGGGAGACCATAGCCCTGTAATAATACATGGTAATATTATTGAACAGGTTTCTTCATATAAATACTTAGGAGTTTTTATGGACAATTTACTATGCTGGTCTTCTCACATCGACAATCTTTGTTCCAGACTGCAGCAGAGGCTATACTTCCTGCGAAGGTTAAAAATGTTTGGAGTAAACCAGAGGATTTTGTTTCTATTTTATCAGTCTGTTTTTGAAAGCTTAATTAGATACTGTATTACTGCATGGTATGGAAATCTGACTGTTCAATCTAAATCAAAACTAGCACGCCTGGTGCATTCAGCTCAAAAAAATCACAGGGTGGCAGGAAAAACGAACCATACAAGAACTGTACGAGGCATCTATTTCAAGGCAAGCTAAAAGAATTGTCTCTGATGAAACACATATTTTACATAAGTATTTTAATTTGCTACCATCAGGGAGAAGATTCAGGGTCTTGTTGTGCAAGTCTAATCGTTATAAAAAACTCCTTTGTTCCAACTGCGATAAAAATTTTAAATAGAGATTTTTTTTCTTTTAATTGATGTAGTATGCTGCTAGTTTTTTACATAATTCATTGAAATGTGTTATTGCTTATTACTGCATGTCATTGTACGTATTGTGTTGTGTGTGATTGATGTTGTGCACTGGCCGTGTCATGCTGTCCAAGACAAATTTCCCAGGAATGGGACAATAAAAGTATAATAATAATAAGCATCATGAAGAACAAGGAACCAGGCAGGTCCGAGATACTGTTGTGGAGAAGTTTAAAGCCGGATCTGGATACAGAAAGATTTCCCAAGCTTTAAACGTCTCAAGGAGGACTGTGCAAGCGATAATATTGAAATGGAAGGAGTATCAGACCACTGCAAATCTACCAAGACCCGGCCGTCCCTCTAAACTTTCAGCTCATACAAGGAGAAGACTGATCAGAGATGCAGCCAAGAGGCCCATGATTACTCTGGATGAACTGCAGAGATCTACAGCTGAGGTGGAAGACTCTGTCCATAGGACAACAATCAGTCGTATACTGCACAAATCTGGCCTTTATGGAAGAGTGGCAAGAAGAAAGCCATTTCTTAAAGATATCCATAAAAAGTGTCGTTTAAAGTTTGCCACAAGCCACCTGGGAGACACACCAAACATGTAGAAGAAGGTGCTCTGGTCAGATGAAACCAAATCGAACTTTTTGGCAACAATGCAAAACGTTATGTTTGGCGTAAAAGCAACACAGCTCATCACCCTGAACACACCATCCCCACTGTCAAACATGGTGGTGGAAGCATCATAGTTTGGGCCTGCTTTTCTTCAGCAGGGACAGGGAAGATGGTTAAAATTGATGGGAAGATGGATGGAGCCAAATACAGGACCATTCTGGAAGAAAACCTGATGGAGTCTGCAAAAGACCTGAGACTGGGATGGAGATTTGTCTTCCAACAAGACAATAATCCAAAACATAAAGCAAAATCTATAATGGAATGGTTCACAAATAAACATATTCAGGTGTTAGAATGGCCAAGTCAAAGTTCAGACCTGAATCCAATCGAGAATCTGTGGAAAGAACTGAAAACTGCTGTTCAAACGCTCTCCATCCAACCTCACTGAGCTCGAGCTGTTTTGCAAGGAGGAATGGGCAAAAATTTCAGTCTCTCGATGTGCAAAACTGATAGAGACATACCCCAAGCGACTTACAGCTGTAATCGCAGCAAAAGGTGGTGCTACAAAGTATTAACTTAAGGGGGCTGAATAATTTTGCACGCCCAATTTTTCAGTTTTTTATTTGTTAGAAAAAAAGTTTGAAATATCCAATAAATTTCGTTCCACTTCATGATTGTGTCCCACTTGTTGTTGATTCTTCACAAAAAAATATTTATGTTTGAAGCCTGAAATGTGGCAAAAGGTCGAAAAGTTCAAGGGGGCCGAATACTTTCGCAAGGCACTGTATGCAATCTACAAGCAATAATAGATCACATAATTACCGCATGGGACAAGCTGATTGGCCTCTGCTGATCCTGTGGCCAATGAAATTGCTTGCTCAACATTTAAATAGTATGGTTCAGTGGTTGTTGTAAGCTAGACCTGCTGCAGCGCATCTTTTTTGTCTCATCAGAGTTCCTCTGAAACCCTCCACCTCCACCTGTCTAAATCTGCTGTGTGATTTATGCATGTCGACGCTATTGGGATATCTTACATGCTCACAGCAGCGTGTCTATGTATCTATTAGCAGTATCAAGTCCATACTTGCTCTGCAACAGCAGCAGTGTAGCAGATCTAGTCCGCCAAGACCAAATACATTAACTAGGGGTGGAACGGTACATGTATTCGTATTGAACCGAAACGGTACGGGCGTCACGGTTCGGTGCACGAAGAACTGCACGAAGAATACACGGTACAAATAAAAAAGAAAACTCTTAAATAGCGATCAATTTCGCTTTATTCGCTTTTGGTGTGACTGTGAACGCAGCAATGAACAGGCTGCGATCAAGATTGCAATGCTGGAGTGTGTGTGTGTGTGTGTGTGCAAGAGAGAGAGAGAGAGAGAGAGGTGCGGGCGCGAATCGCGCAATCGAACAGTGTGTGTGTGCGTGTGTGCGCGCGTGCGAGAGAGACAGAGAGAGAGAGAGGCGCGGGCGCGAATCGCGCGATCGAACTGTGTGTGTGTGTGTGTGTGTGTGTGAGAGGCACGGGCGATGAACAGTGGAAACATAAAAACATACTCCGTAATTTTTTTCATACAGGACATCATTAAAACTGCAAATTGTTTACTTATATTTGTGTACACTCGCAATAAAACACAACATTGTGCTTTTGTCACACTCTAAACTCTTGTCAAACTGTAACCTACAACTGTTAACAAAAGTTTTTAATGGTAGTATTATTTTATACGGAAATCAATTATTTATAATTCAGATAAGAATAAAGTTAGAGTTAATTAAAATGAAGGAAAACAAATAAATTGATCTGAAATAGCAAATTAATTTTAAATTCATTCAGGTACAATTATCAAACATATCTCAAGGTCTTTTCGTCTTTTTAATAATTTAATTTATAAACTAATTATATAAAACTACTGTCAGTGCACTACAAATAAACTGGTTCTATGCCTTTATTAATAAAACTTTATTAAAAAAATACAAGGCTTAAGACATTTATAAAAATGCCTTCTGCATTTTTGTTTTGCTTTTCACTCCATTGTACCGAAATCATACCGAACCGTGACGTCTGAACCGAGGTATGAACCGAACCGTGACTTCTGTGTACCGTTCCACCCCTAACATTAACATTGCCTTATTCAATAACATGCTAAATCTGTTGTTATGATTGAAATATATAAATCCATACCTGTAGTTCCACTTGTGAAGCAAATCAGTGCCAGGTCCTCTGGTTTAGGAGGCTTGAAATAAAAATTCAATACTAAGTATTCATTCAATTATGAAGTAAAAAAAAAATCAATAATAAAGCAATCAAATAAAACTATTCATTATTTACATATAATGTTGCAAGTCTGTAAATCAATACAGTGCTCAGTTTTACTCACAATGGGAGTCTTGAGGTTGACTTTGCCAATAGCCTGCCAAAAGAAAGACTTCATTTAGTGCAGTACTAATACAAGATTAATGGGATCACTGTTTAGCAAGTGTGTGTGTGTGTGTGTATGCGTGTGTCCTCCAAACCTCCAGCTCCTTGAGGCTCAAAACTTCAATGCCGTTCTGTTGTGCTTGTGCAGTCAGCTCACTGTCAAAGGTCTCCATGATCACTATGGTTGTGACGCTGTGCTTCCGGCCAGACACACAGTCCAAGATCAGACGAGCTTTTTCCGCGAGATCACAGATCACAGTGGAGATGGAGGCTACAACAAAACCTCTGTTACCCACAACAAATTTCCACAATTTCGACAACACATCACAATGTCAACTCGATTTCCATCTTCATTCAAATCTTCAAATGAAATTAAAAATAGTTATATTAATTAATTAAAACACATCCACGTTTTCTCTATTTAAATATAGTTACACGAGTAGTTACACGACCAAGTATGGTGACACTAAATAAAATGTTGCGCTTTTTTTATAAGCGGGTAAAATGGATAACTATAATGTATGGCGGAATAGCACTTATTGGGAGCACTTCGACTCGGCGCTGTAATATCTTCACTCGTGAAAAGTCCTCTCCCCCCTCTCCCAGTCCTCTCCCTCTCCCTGTCATTTCCGTCAATAGAACCAACGTGACCTGCACGCCTGCAGTAGTAGTAGTTTTTTGTGCAGAGTTGACGAAGTATCAGGGAGAGGGAGAGGGGGAGAGGACTTTTCACGAGTGAAGATATTACAGCGCCGAGTCGAAGTGCTCCCAATAAGTGCTATTCCACCATACATTATAGTTATCCATTTTACCCGCTTATAAAAAGCGGCACATTTTATTTAGTGTCACCATACTTGGTCGTGTATCTACACGTATAACTATATTTAAATAGAGAAAACGTGGATGTGTTTGGCCGCTTCTAACTTCATCTCTGTTTGGCCCATATCCAATGAATGGGGCTAAGCTAACTGCTCTCAAAGTTCTCCGCCCGACAGAGCGATTCAGTGCACGCACTGAGACGAGAGAGGTATGTATCAACTCGTGTTAGATAAGAGAATAACATAGTTTAATATGAAAAAACGGTGGAGTATCCCTTTAAAGGCACAGTATGTAAGTTTTGCCGCTAGAGGTTGCTTTTTCAAAACATTAACAAAGGCGTAGCTTGAAAACGCTGTGAATGAGCGTGGAATCATGGGAGTTTTCGTCATCACCTCCACAGCCGATGGAAAGCAATCCGATGGGACTCAGGCAGAAATCATATTCATGGGTGAGCTAATGTATTAAAGTTTTATTAATGTTACTGTGGTATGAAGCAGGGAAGGGCTGAGAGCCTAGGAAATTGTATACTGCTGTTTTTGCTTATATCGGCTGCTGCCGCTCTTTTCGCTTTGTTGTTTATGCATATTTTATGATTGAAGTTACGATTAAAGTTGATTAACGCCCACCTCCTTCATCCCTGAATTTGAAATTTGTTACAGTTGTGTTTGCTCACTTAAATTCACATTATTTTATTTCATTCTGATGAAATAGCCGCAAATGCTGAATTACAGTTCCCTATCGGTCAGTCACTACTACGTAGGTCATGACTGACCAATAGGAATCTCGCTAGAGAGGCCAATCTACTTCGAGTGAAACTAAAACAAGCCAATGCACTCATCTGACCTATTCGACGAGGCTTACAAGGCCTGTGGGGAAGCTGCCTCTGTCATGCACGCCATAGCGTTGCTGCAGGTCCATCAGGCCAAGGCACTGAAGGACCTGCAAGAGGGTGGTCATGATCCACAAGTTCTCCAAGAACTTCGTGCCACAACGGACCTCACACTTCGTGTGACGAAGGTCACTGCGTGATCAGTGGGTCGTGCGATGTCCATCTTGGTGGTCCAGGAACGCCATCTCTGGCTGTGTCTGGCCGACATGAGGGAGACCGACCAGCTCCGGTTCCTTAACTCCCCTGTGTCCCAGACCGGCCTCTTCGGCGACGCGGTCGAGAACTTTGCAGTTCTCGGCTGTACAAAAGCAGACAGAGGCTATCAAATACATCCTGCCGCGTTGGTCAGCTGCTGCCTCTACCCCACCGCCCGCGGCTCCTCAGTCTGCTCGTCGCCGGGGGCGTCCTCCCGCGTCTGCCCTTGCTCCCGCGCCACAGCAGCAGCCTCCACCTAAACGGTGCCGTGGAGCCAGTCGCAGGCAGGCCGCCCCGCCCGTCCAGGCACCCGCCAAAAAGGGGGGCAAAGCCAGAGGCCCCAGGATGGGCGACCCGGAGATGGATGGGACTGCTCTCCAGGAAGAGGGCCGGGTGGAAAATCATTTGTTCCGTTTTATTTGTTTTCCGCCGCTGGCTTCAGAACCAGCGGTACCCAAATTTTCAATAAAAGAGCAGTTTCTATCATCTCTGGGTCCGAAGAGGGACCGGAGAGCAGTGGGGGGGACAGAATCCTCACCACTCTCATTCACCTCTTCTATCGCCAGCGGGCAGCAGTGTGCGGTCCAAGAACGCCACCGAGCCGACTCCTGCACCTCCTGCCCCGTGGAACCAGGTAAGTGTTGCACAGCACACTCAGACCCCACTACAGGCCGCCTCCCAGAGAGAGCCTCCCGAGCCACGTCCCTGTGTTCCACCTCGCTGCCCCACTCCGGGTACGCACACGGTCCCTTTGGTCCCTCTGTGAGCCTGGTTAGTGCTCCCTAGTCCGTCTTGCTGGCTCATTCGGACAATCAGGCTCGGCTATGCGATTCAGTTCGCCCGGCGTCCCCCCAAGTTTCGGGCCATCCACTCCACTACAGTGAGAGCAGGCGATGCCCATGTCTTGCGTGCGGAGATCGCAGTCCTACTGGCGAAGGACGCGATAGAGCCGGGCCCTCCAGCCGATATGAGGTCAGGACACAACAGTCACTACTTCATTGTACCCAAGAAAGGTGGTGGGTTACGACGATCTTGGATCTGCGAGTTTTGAATCGGAGCCTCCACAAGCTACCATTCACTTAACAAAATAGTGTTGTCTCTGAAGCATGGTACAAACATGTTACTTGCGGTAAATCAAGAAATCAATAGATTCAAACAATAAGACTAACCGTGTTGAGCTATATAACAATGTTTAATTTTCTATCGTTAAAAGTATTCAAACAGTTGCTCACCAAAAAGCATAACAAATTGAAGCGTGTTTCCTGGTTTTAAATGGGGTTTCCATGTTTCCTACGGAAATTAAGTGTAACACGGATATGATGTCATTGACGGGCTACGCAATGACACGGGCCGTTACACTGGTTAAAATAGCTGATTTCTCTGGATTTAAACATTGTTGGAAACATTTGGGATAATGTAAGTACACAAGTCAACAAAATATATATTGTTTTAGTGGTTTTTGGATATTTGAATCCAAAAATCTTACATATTGTGCCTTTAAGTAATTCAATAAAAATTTATTTTAATAAATAGGTTCTAGCTAATAGTGTTTTAGTTACTTTTTCAGTGAACAAAATGCTTTTCTGTAAAAGGAATAGGACATTTTTAGTCTGAATAAAAATAAAAAATATTTTTTTTTCAAGTATTTATTTGCAGAAATAAAACTAAATAGAAGGTAAAGATATCATAAAACTTCTGCACAGAATTATAAAAAAATGCTGTGCTCTTGCTCACCTTTGTCAATGATGTAGCTGATGGCCTCTGTACCCAGTGTGTCATACAGTGGCACTGCCACCAGTGAATATGTGTAACATGCCAGCTCTGAAATCGTCCACTAATGTACAAGCAATTTAATCAGTTGTGGAATACACATACTTATGCACAAATAATATAATCTTAAACAGAATAAATATAGAATAAAACAGGATTAGGAAGTGCTCCCAAACCTGCTGTACAATAAGCGAAGCAATTAATTGGGGCTGTCAATCAACCTTTAATTAATGTAAATACATGACATTTTAATTAAATTGTAAATATTAATATTGCAGAGAAAGCACCCAAATGAAAAAATTCGGTCACACTTTATATAATGTGTCTTTAACTATTATGTACTTACATAAAAAAATAAGTACAATGTAATTATTGTGTTGAAGTTGTATTGCAAAACACTTCTGCAGCTATTGAGGTGGGATACGGGTAAGGTAATTATAATAATATAAGTACAATGTAAAAACATGTATGTACATAATAAGTGCACTGTATCAAATGATTCATTTAAATGTTGGTACAAAGTAGATAAAGGGTAAGACACAATATAAAAAGTGAGACTAAAATGTTATAAGTTATTACATTATTGTGGCAAACAAGTAAAGCAATGAATATACAAAAAGTGGCTTTAGAAGTATTCATATTGTTTAGTTTACTTTCATATACGTGATTATTGGCCTACAGCCTACATCAATCCATTTTACAATCAAACTGTCTAAGGCAGATAGCTCTAGTAGGATGTAAATACCTCTGGCCTGTTCTGTGCAAAGATGCCGATGTATTTGTCTCCCGATTGACTGTGACCTCTGTGGAGTAATGCTGAACCTGCAAACTCTGCTCTGTCTGCTACCTACAAACACAAACATCATACGAAAATACATAACTTATTCAATTGCACAGCCATATCTGATCAAATATTAACAAGAGAGGAATCCATGAACATTTACTAAATAAAATGCTATTCTGCCAGTTCCGATTTAAAATCACACAGCAGAGCAGACTACAGAAATCTTACCTCTTTATACGACAGCCATTTATATTGCTTGCTCGCTTTTCGTGATCCTAAACAAGGTCCATTATCTATAAAAAATAAATAAAAAATCACAAAAATGTAAAGATCTCAAACATGATGACAAAACTTTAGGCTTAGAGCTGCACGATTCTGGATATTTTTGATTCTGAGTAGACAACTAAACAACACAATATATTTTAAAAATATTTAATTAATCTGAATTAATAATTTTAAAAGAAAATTGGTTTTAATGAATGATTCAATGACTCGCTCATAAAGACTTGTTTCATTACTGGATGGATCAGCATTTTTGAACAAATCTTTTGAATGAATGATTCAATGACAAATACATTTTTTAACAGTCACTTGTCGCCACCTACTGGTGTAACGATGTTATTGATAAATCTTTATTTGAAGTGTCAAGTTACTTCAAAATGTGTCATTTACTTTATTTTGATCCCTAGAGTAGGCATCAGTGTTTATATCCAATAAACTTTATTCCAGTATTTATTTCCAGAAAAAAAATAATGATACTGTGTGTTTGAAAATACTGTTTGTAAAGCTGTTTCATATCTATATATGATGATAACTGCTCTCTCTGGGTCAGCAGTAGCCTGGATGCCAGCCCGAACCCCGCCCACAACATTTTTTGGTCGGGAAGTTCGGTCTGGACTCGATCCATTGAGGAGTAATTATGATCGGTTCAAAATTAGTCGGGCCAATCAAATTGCCAGGGCGGGCTTTATACGATGATGGACAGATGATCTGCAGTTACGTAATCATCACGTTATCAAAGAGCGCTTGGGTTGAACTGGTTTCCCTCAAAGATGACTGCAGCTGGAGAATTGAGATGTATAGATTCCGCTATTGCATCTGTTGTAAAAGAAATCGACAGCGCGTTCATTTTAAAAGACGAACAGAGAACTGCAATCAAGGCATTTGTCGATCGGAAAGATGTGTTTGCCGTCCTTCCTACGGGATTCGGCAAAAGTTTATTTTATCAGCTGTCTCCGGTGGTCGCTAAGAAGATGGGACGCAATGAAAACCCTGTGGTCGTTGTGGTTTCTCCTTTGGTCACACTCATGGAGGACCAAGTAAAAGAAGCAACACTCATTATTTTACTACTTCTTCCAGCGTGCGTGCAGTTGAGTTGTGTTGAAAACTATGCTATGCAACTACGTAGCTGACTTTATGCGTTGCTCTGATTGGTTGTAGGTCTATCCAATTGAGTGCAGAGGTTTTTTTTTTCCTGGTTCGGTTAAAACACGCCTCATAATCAAAGCCCTATGGAGCAGTATCAGACTCACATTCTGACTAGAATACGAGTATGACGAAGTCAGGCTAGGTCAGCAGCAGTACGAACACAAATTTAATTGTTCGCTGTTCGTCAAAGGTGTAATAGACATAGCCGAATAATTGACATTTTGGAATAATGTATATTATATATCGCAATCTTTTAACGATTAATCGTGCAGCTCTAGGTGAACTATTCATTTAGTTGATATGAATGTCTTAATTAAATGACCACTTGACTTACTTGACACTCTTAGTCCTCGTAAGAAAAACTCATACATTGTCCGAGCGTCTTTATAGTAGTATGTCATGTATGTGTCACTGTCCAATAGGATAGACCGACGAGCATATTCACTACCCTGAAAACACAAAACAAATGAACTATGATGTAGTTCTGTCCCAGAAAATCAAATCACAACTCCTTACAAATCTGCTCCCGCTTTGCTTCCACACCAGACAGATACTCTGGAACAGCATAAACAGAAACAAACTGAGTAAAATGAACAGTGAATCATCCCAATGCATTTGAAATTTGAGGACCAGAGCGAAATGATAATTTCATTTATGCATAAACCATTTTTACAGTAGCATTAACTTGTCAAAATAAACAAGAAAATAAGACTCACAGGTCACAGGTAAAGGTCACTGAATCTTTCGCTACTTTAGGGTTTGACAAACCTAAATAAGACCAGGCCATTAACAGCAGAAGGAAGGAAGACTTCACGCTAAAAGAATTTACAGATGGTCGTTGCGCAAGTTGCGTAGTGGATCTGACTGCCTTTATAGCTGTTGCCAACAAGTTTCAGTTACCATAGCAAACATACAATAAATGGTGAGAATACAAGAACCTCTGTGTTTTCTTCTTCAGCCAAAGACAGAGACAGAGATCAAGGACATACATCTATAATTCCACTTGTCTGGGTGAAAGAGGCTGTAATTATTTGTATCTAAGGCAACGTTACAGTCTGTGCACATGTGTACATACACACAAAACTGCTCAGCATATGAGGACAGAATGTGAACTGGGAGGAAAAAGCAGGGATGTGATAAAAATACCATGTTTTCAACACACACACACTACCATTCAAAAGTTTTGGGCTAGTAGTTTATTTTTTTGAGTATATGTCTCTTATGCTCACCAAGGCTGCATTTGCTCACAAATACAGTAAAATTGGTTATTATAGAAACCACAATGCATGATTCCAAGAAAACACAGCACATATTTTGTGCACTAAGATATATTTAAATGTGCAGTACTGTATGTCTGAGAACACAGATGGGCAACTTAAGACAGCTCATAAATGCAGAGTTTTGTGACATGCAGCGGGTGACCTGTTCATATGCTGGGTTAACCAGAGGAAGCCACAGTCTGTACTGCTGAACCGCTTTTCAAAGGGAGCAAATAATCACTAAAATCTTGCACCTCGAGCTGAGAGACACTTTCAACCTTTTCAAAATAGATTTGACTCTAGAATGCGTTCGGAGGTCTCTGACTGAAAACGTGTTTATTTTAATGCGTTGCAAGTTTCGCAAGCTATGATTGTGTGGAGAACTTCTAATAACCTTGGTGGATTTGCAAGCCAATGGCTGCTAAGCAACTGTTGGAGATGAGAATCCACTAGTTTTTCTCAAACTGCTGGGAAGTTTTTTTTACCAGGTGGCCACTGGCCACATTGAATAATTCCAATGAAGAATTACCAAATTACCAAAATTGTATGGAATTGAATTTTTTAAGTACAACATATTTAATAGCTTTGTTTGAGGTGGTTATTAACATTGAAACCAGAAATCCTCAAGTGCAACTGATGGTATAATCAATAGTCAATAATCTCAAAATTAAAGATTTACCTCATTGTTGCATGCCAGAGTTTTAGAGTAGGCATCATCTAAACTGTGGTTGGTCATTTTGCATCTAGGTCTACCTGTCTATGTGGCCTTAAAAAAAACTACAATGTAGATCAGACTTTGTTTCACAGACATATTGACGAGACTACTAACCCTGAACTAGGGGTTGTAGCACAGCCTAGTCGACTTTAATTGTTTTTCTTTTTTTACGCTTGATGTCGACTAGTCACTGACCATGGTCTATAGAGGGCGCAACAGGATAAGAAATCTTTGAAGTCCACTTTTACACTTCGTTCTTAATAATTAAAATGACAAATAGATTTAATTCGTTATATAGCGCTTTTCTGTGCACTCAAAGCGCTATACATAGAAGGGGAATCTCCTCAACCACCACCAATGTGCAGCATCCACCTGGATGATGCGACGACAGCCATATTGCGCCAGAACGCCCACCACACACCAGCTTATTGGTGGAGAGGAGACGGTGATGAAGCCAATCAGTATATGGGGATGATTAGTAGGCCATGATGGACAGAGGCCAATGGGCAAATTTGGCAAGGGATTTTTAATGACCGCAGAGAGTCAGGCCCTTGGTTTAAAGTCTCATCCGAAGGATGGCAATGCATACTCCGAGAGCGCTCCACGAGATATGTTTGTTTATACAATCTAGATGCTCAAAATTATAGGTGAATGCATGTTTTAAACAGCTTATTGTACATACAAGTTAATCGCCGATCTAAACTAATGCACTGCAGCATTGTACAGAATCATTCACTAGCACAGAAATTTATCGTCAACATTGTTCTGTAATTTATCAATAAAATATCTTAGAAACTAAAAAAGTTCTAGCATAATTTATTATAGTGACTAAAACCCACAGCTTCACTATTAGTAGAGAAACCCTGCACGGTAGAATTGATTCACACACAAACGCTCTCTCACTAATGCATTCAATGTAATCTTTACTGCGCTACCGTATCTGTATCTGATTTAGAACGAGCAGAAATCTGTGAGAAATAGAACGACCCAAATACAAAATAACTGAGAAAAATAAGCTGTTATGTTGAGCAATAGCCTTGTGGGAAGTGCTGTGTAATACAGTATGCCATAGCTGTGCACAAGGCAAGCCGCATTCTAGTCTCAGCTTGAGGTTCAGGCTTATTTGTTCATTAATGATGTCATCAGCGACTAGTCAACTCGACTTTTATCACATAAATGTTGGCTTAAAAAAATCTAAAGTCGTTCAATCCCTACCCCTAGTAGTTATAAAACTACATTTGTGGAAGCATTTTTCACACTTACCGGTACCTCCACGGACTGCATGGCGAGGTCACAGGGTGGTTTAAGGGCTTTGGGACGGGTGGCCAGCCAGTATGTGGTGATGGCAGCAAATGCGCCCATGCCCATGAGGGTGTTAGTGGGTAAACTGCGCACATACTGCCTCACGTCGTCCAGCTCAGGCACCCGCAGGTGTCGGATCAGATCCTGGGCCTGCATTGCTCTGCCAATTCAGCTAACTCAAGTCTGAAAGGAAAAACACAGAGGGAGGACACACAAAGTGATTATGGAAAAACAAAACAGATACTGGTGTATTTTGAAATGCACTTTTAATTGTCATTTGAAAATCAGTTTGAAGTGAATTTAACATTTGGTAATATTTATGATGAATATTTGACATTTTTGTATGTGACGTGTTGGCCCTTATTAAAATGATTGTGATTTAGTGATTGGCAAAGAAAACACGTTTTGTACAAAAATGGATGAAGTATGAGATTTGCATTCAAACTATTACATCCACCAGCTGAAATGCCCATGATCACCACCAGAGGGCACTCCTCCCAACTCCCTTGCTTTCCTATCATGAACATCAATTCCCATAACCCATTGCCTGGACTCATTATTGTTTGGTCACTTCCATGGTGTGTCATTATCTAGTTAAGTCTGCCTATTTAAGCCCGGTGTTTTCTGGCATTCTTTGTGAAGTCTTGTTTGTGTCACAGGGCAATTCTGAGCACTCTCTCTTTGGCTTCCCGTGTTATGGTTTCGATCATCTGCCTGGTTTCCTGGATTTCCCTGTTTGCCTGTGATTTGATTTTGGACTCAGTTGTGGTTTGGATTGTTTGCCCTGTGTTTTTGATCTCGTCTGTTATTTGAATTACAAGCTTGGATTACCCTAATAAAGCTGCGTTTGGATCTCCAATCCAAGTCTCGGAGCAGTATGTGACACAAACATTGAATTCCTCTGAATAATTAAAAAAAATATTTATTGTTACAGTAAACTAGGAGTGCACAATACTGTTTTTATTATTATTATGTTATATTTATTATATCAATTATATTTACTTTAATTTGTTATTATGACTTATTTTTCTAATTGAATAAATTATTAATCGGTTTCACATCCTACATTATAATGTTGTGATGCTGTTTTCATTTTCTTAAACTAGTATAGATTTATAAAATCAGCCAGAAAGTCAATATCACAGTGCATCCCTATACATACATATACACACACACACACACACACACACACACACACACACACACACACACACACACACACACACACACACACACACACACACACACACACACACACACACACCTGTTTTATCCCAGTTCATAATAATCAGTGAACACTCAACTCAGCTGAGAAAGACAGTCACAATCTTTCATTTTATCCCTGTATGTCTCTGGTTTGTTTCATGACAGCTCAAGATGAGCAGAAAATAGGGCGCTATTAAAAAAAGATATATATATATATTTCAAATAAATATTTCAGCTGCATCAGCCTATATAGCCTCCAGCAGTGTTTCTCTGTACAGACCCTTTTCACATGGAAGTGGACTATAATTACAGACAGTAATGAGGGCCCTTCACAGCTGAGACCAGACACTTCTGCAGCTTGACTTGACTTCCGTGCTCTCACAATAAAGATGGAAACCTTCACTAAAGGCTGACAGCTTCCCTGCATCAGTGAGGTGTTAGCCAGCTGATGCCTGATAATATCTCTGAGACCTTCATGCAGAGGGTGAAAATGAGTGATAAAGCCTGTGAACAGCACTGTTAATGTGTTGTCGATAATATGGTGGGTCTTCACCTCAGAAGTCTTTGTTAGTGTAGGGTTAGTTAGGGTAGGGTTTCACACTGTTACTCTACACTGTCTCTCTCTCTCTCTCTCTCTCTCTCTCTCTCTCTCTCTCTCTCTCTCTCTCTCTCTCTCTCTCTCTCTCTCTCTCTCTCTCTCTCTCTCACACACACATACACACACACTATACAATGTTAATATATATATATATATATTATATATATCTTTCTCAAGGTAAAAACTTTCTCTCGGATCCACTCTACTAAAAGCCCAGTGCCTCTGACCTTGAACTTACCCAGGAGTAAGTGAAGTACACTCACATTTACATAGCTATCTCAATTAGGACATTTCATGAATATTAGTGTTATTATTAATTGATTTTCCAATTGAGGATGCCCCCAAATTTTACCCAGATTTACCTTAATTCTAGGGACAGTCCTATATCCAAACAAAATATCACAGCACAGGTAAAAACACACACAGCTTGACATAAAGCCACTTTTATAATGGAATCAAAACTGAACAAAAAAAAATACTTACTGTGCAGCTCTAGTTAGGTTTTTTCGTGTGAGTGAGTAATAGCTGTATTGCAATTGCGTTGTTTTTTTTGTTTTTTGAGGGACGCTTTCAGCGTGTCTCTGTTCTTGCAGTTAAACTGCCCTAAGCAGTGCTGAAGGAAACTATAGCTATAAATAGCAGAATGACCCTCACGGACAGCAATACCACCACGTGGGTCGCTCTCTTTTTCTCTCACGCTCTCTATCAATCTTTCACTATAAACTGTCACTGAATTTCCCCTCGTTTTCTCCTTTTCTTTTTCTCAAGCGTCTTCCACTCCTCAATGCAGCACGAATGTTTTTTTAGCAGTTGGCTCAAGTATTTATGCCCTGTAGTCTGTTTTAGCAGATGCAGTCGTGCTTGTGTTGTGCGTGAGCGAGTCTTTTAAAATGCTTCAAAACACATGGAGATACTGGCATCCCACACATCAAAGCGTACTGTTGCTGTTCTTATCTCTGAAACATAAGCACACAAATCCAATCCAAAGACGTGAGAGCTGACATTGCCGCATACGTATGTGTGTGAAATTCTTGCTCAACAGCACAGTAGCTGATAGTACAGCAGATGTTTGGCAACTCAAACACTCTGTACTCAAACACAATACAGTAATTCACAAAGATAAAGAGAAAAAATAAGGAAAACATTTCACATGTGCCAGAAAATAAGCGCTCTCACGAATCTCACGAACCTGTCGCTGTCAAGAACATGTCTGGGTCACATTTCACACCAAAAATCAAAACAAGTCAAAAAAAAAAAAAGCCAATAAGACTGTCCAACATCAGTGTTAACATAAAAAGCAGTTTTTTTGCATTGGGACATTATTTTAATGACACTTAAGATCTGAAATCACATTAGCATAAAACAAATAACATTACTATAATGTAAGGGGGGGGGGTTATTATTTTTTTTTTTCATTATCTAGAGATACACAATATATCATCTCCATTATCAGATGAAATTAGTGTTTTTAATAATTAGTAACGGTTGAAACTGTCTGAAACAGTTGACATTGGATATTTAACTGATGCAGCATTCACTTTTAAAAACTTTTGAAAGCATTAATTTAAAACTATTAATTTAGGTTTTAGTGTTTTTATTTGTCTATATTATTTTGCTTATTTATTTTTTGTTTGTTTATTGGCCATAATATTAGTAATTATCTGCTTTTCAATATTGCCCAGAATTTGTGTAAGTGTCGTTGAAGATTTAAATGTTTATGTTTATGTTGCAGTGTTAGTGTAAACATGAAGAGTGGTTATTCATAAAAGATGTACTATATACTATGCATTTATGCCAACATGAGACTTGTAAGAGGGGGAAGCAGCTGTGTATCTGGCTCACAGATAGGAAAATCACATTACAGGTCTGGCAGAGCTTGTTCTCGAACTGAAAGCTAACCTTTCTCCATACTTGGGCTGCAAAGAGCACAAACCAATGACAGAGCTACACTTACAATCAGCCCACTGAGAGAAGGACAGAAAGAGTGAGACAGACAGACAGACAGACAGAGAGACAGACATACAGAAAGTCCTTCAGCAGAACCCAGAGGAACTTTTTGTTGCTCAATGATTGTTCTTTCATAGCACAACTTAATGACGTTTCGTTTAAACTTCCCCTTAGATGTTTCTTCTAAAATTGTTTAGGATAAATGTAAATAGATGCAAACTGAGACCTTAATTTTCTCAGGAAACTCAACCAAAGGTTCTGCAAACTTGCTCTCCATTTAATCTTGATGCTGAATAAGAGAAACAACTGAGATATTAAAGAGTTTTCATACACACACACACAAAGCTTTATCATTTTGGAGGCTGGGAAAGTTCTGTTCTCACATAAATGGAAAACCAATGGAAAAAGAGAGAGAGAAGGCAGAACAAACAGATGTTCTGACAAACTCAGGATACCAAAAACTTGACACACAACATGCACACAAACCTAATCAAACCTTTAAAGGGGTCATGACATGAGAAATTAAATTTGCCTTGATCTTTTAACATATGGTATTTGTACCATTAAAACATCCTGCAAGATTCAGAGCTTAAAACGTCCTACTCATAAACAAAGCATTTATTTAAGCAAGCTCCAAAAACAGCCCGTTTTGATATTAGAGGCCAGGGACTTGTGACGTCACACTGCCTGCCTTCAGAGCAAGACATCGACAAATAGTTTTACACCATAAGCCACTTTTCCACTGTTGGGCCAAACAATAACAAGCTAGCTTTGAAAGCATAGATCCCACCCTCCCTTCAGAGCGCTCTACAAAGCCACGCCACCTCCAAAACACATGAACGCACACAGCAGATTCTGCAAAGTGTCACGAGACAAGACAGCATCTTGTAAGTCTTTACTGTAATTACCGATATCTCGGACCGAATGCAATGATTGGAAGAACCTTTTTTGGTCTAGAGACTAGAGACCACAGAAGATATTTGTAAAAAAAAAAATATATATATATATATATATATATATATATATATATATATATATATTTGGGCTGTCAGTTAAACGCGTTATTAACGGCGTTAACGCAAATCCATTTTAACGGCGTTCATTTTTTTATCGCGCGATTAACGGCCTTTTTGGCCAAGCAAACTTTGTAGTTTTTTTCACATGTTTTTGCAACAGGCACGCCGCACACACTCGTTTGGGCTTGCGAGCCGGCCAAATAGTAGGTTAACGTTACGTTTTGAGTGGATGGCGAGCGCGAGACGCCGAAATGTATGCCAATAAGATTCTGAATGGAAAGTTTACTTTTAAAAAGGTGCCAAATGGTTCCATTGACAAGACCAAAGTGTGTGTTTTGTCGTTGTGAACTGAGCTATCATCATCGCACCACGTCCAGTCTGAAATACCACTTGATGATGGCCAAGCACACACACAGCTGATGCGAATTCTCCGCCCCCTCGCCAATATCAGGACCTCGTCACTATTTCTTTCACCCTTTTATTGATGGACAGTGTTACATTGTGTGAGAGATTATTTGCTCCAAGTGAGAATGTTAGTGTGAAATTGAACACAGTATTGTCAATGTTGTTTTCCATAAAAAAAACATTTGCACAAAGCAAGCTGATCCACTTTTCCATGTTGATAAGAGCATTAAAATGAGAAAAAAGAATGGGACAAAAAGAAATCAAGAGACATTTAGAATAGATAAAAATGTGCGATTAATTGCGATTAATCACGAGTTAACTATGACATTAGTGTGATTAATGGCGATTAAATATTTTAATCGTTTGACAGCACTAATATATATATATATATATTTAGACCACTTCTATTATTGATTGCTATCAGGATGTGAAGAGAGTTTCAACCAGTACAAACAAAAAGTATTTATAAAATAAAAACCTCACACACAAACAAGCACACAACAAACTCTTACTTCACAAAAACATGCGTGCTTCTGAGATTAACTTCATACATACAGTATGTCGCACTGTAGCCATCAGTGGCCTATTCAGAGATTATTTTTGGACCAAGCACTGTGGTAAAAAAAAAATAAAAATCTTGCAAATATATTCCCTATTTCCCACAGTCTGTCAGGGTATCGCAGCAGCTGGTGAAATACATTCAAGGCAGTGGTTCTCAATTTATTTTTTATTTTTTTATTTGTTTTGTCATGCCCCCTTTTTAAACCTTTAAAAAAAATCAGGCTGATTGAGCAAATATGAGACATGATACATTTCAGTTTCTTTCAACATACCTTCTGATGTTCATTCATGTTTATTTCTAATAGCTAATACTGCTCTGTATATTTAGTAGAGCTGTTATTCATTAGTTATGTGAAACCATGAAACAGCATTCACGTTAGCTTCCAAAATTTATTTTAAAATAACACTTGACAATATATACACAGAGGGCCCTATCTTGCACTCGGCGCAAATGACTTTGTACACTGACGCATGTATCATTCCTATTTTGCACCCGCGCAAAGCGGGCTTTTCCCTCCACAGACGCACGTCGGTAAACTAGGGAATGAACTTGTGCTCCCTGGGCGGGTCGGCGCAAAAAGGAGGCGTGTTTCGGCGCAAACATTCCCTAGTGCTATTTTGCAGTTCCAGAAAACAATTGCGCCACTGACCAGAAAAAACCTAGTCTAAAGTCAGTGGCGCGTTGCGCGTTGTTCATAATGCTATTTTAAGCGCGCATGCTTGGCCATAATGTAGCGGGTGCACAACGCGCATACAGTTTGATTCTCTCAACAACACAGCGCAAGTTTTTATTTTTGCAAATCATACATTATAACAAGGAAAAATATTAACACATGAGGGAAATCATTGTGGTGTACATGAAGATGTAAAAAAAATGTAGTTTTTTTCCTCCCACGCCTGTTTAACCGACGCTGATTTGGGTGGGTTTCTCCCATCCCCATACAATGTCACTTCTCTGTCTTTCACGGTCCTGACAAGAACGTCGGTCTCCTCGGCTGTGAACCGCTCCTGGCGCGCGCCTGGTAAATCCGCCGTTATAATAGCAATCCGCCATGCAACATGCGCACCTGCTCTTAAAGGGTATGTTGGACGACGCTCTGATTGGTTTATTTCACGTTACGCCCAAACCACACCTATGAATAATGAAGCTACTTCAGACCAACCCCTTTTAGATTTGCGCCAGCCGCAAGAGGCATTTATCCCGCCGGGAAAATAGCAACAGCGCCGGGATCCGCCCACAAATGCGCTTTGACACTTGCGTTTCAGATCGTTAAAATAGGGCCCAGAGTGTGTTTGCAACTATACGTGTGTTTTGCAGTCACACTTTTTATATTAGGTGGCTTTAACTATGTAGCCTACTTAACCATTTAATACAATATGTTAGTGCATTGTAATACCATTTAAAGTGCATTTTATTAACATTAACATAATATAACATTAACCCAATATAACATTAACCCGGCCTAACACAAGCCTTACCACAAAACCTAACTCTTACCCCTATCCTAACCATAACCCTCCTGAACCTATAACCTCAAACTCATTAGCAGGAAATGTGGAAATTTTCCAGAACAACGTGTAATAATTACACTGTCAATTCAGTCTTGTAGCTGTAGGTGTTTATTGTCAGTACATAGTAGTTAAGGTAACCTAATATAAAGGGTGACCTGTTTTTCTACTTATTATGCCTGTTTAAGGACATTTCATTTGAATTTTCCTAGTATAACTTAATCTTTCATAAGCTAGAACTATGGCCTGAAATGGGCTTGCCTGGTCATGTTTGAACTCTTTCCAGCTGAACCACACCTAAAGCATTCTATAACAAGTTTAAAAGTGTAACAGCACACGCCACATTCTATAGATGGTCAGAGGGCAATTTGGGGTTTTGTGAGAGGAAAGACTGTCTGTACAAGAGAAACGGATATCAATTTTCGGAAGATCTGAAATTTGAGACAGGCTCTTTTATCTGTCGAAAAACAGAGATGAGAAAACATTGTTATTGGTAACGAACCACAGCAACAGGTGTTATTTTGGGGTAGGGCTAAATCTTTAAGATTTTTCATTCAAATCCGTCGAATTAAGTAAAGTTGAAATAAATGACAAATATAATTCTTCCAAGGAGGTTAAGGTAAAAAAAAAAGTGCATCTTTCAGCCCTGCATCAACGAAATGAGGCCAAATGATCTGTGTTCTAGTCAGCAGACCTGTTGCACCATTCTTTAGTTAGATATTTTCTTAAAATCTTTAATGGACCAAGTCAACACTTTTTTTGCATCAAATAAATGTTATGTTTATGTTTAAGGTTTGCTACTGAAATAAGGTAAAGTGTTTAGTTAAGTTAATTTATAATGGAGTTATGGCTATTTCAGGATGCCTTAATTTGTGATGGCCAGTGATCTGGATAAGCAAATGGGAGGTTAAACGACAAGGAGTGATGCCACAACATGTCGTGGACAAGGGATGCATTGTCTCTTTATCCGATTCTGTTCTGAATTAGCTAATTAACTAACAATAGAGCGCGCGAGACTCCGTCAAGCGTCCGCCCCTCTCTTTGTCTTCACACAGATCCTCCGCTCAACTTCAGCTTTCTCTGCCAGAGGAGTAAAAGAAGGAAATTCGTGTTGGGATAATACATAAATAACATATATATATACACTACCGTTCAAAAGTTTGGGGTCGGTACGATTTTAAATACTTTTAAAAGAATTCTCTTCTGTTAACCATGGCTGCGCTTATTTGATTAAAAATACAACAAAAATCAGTTATAGTATTAAATATTATTCCAGTGTAAATCAGCTGTTTTCTGTGTATAGTAAAGTGTAATTTATTCCTGTGATCAAAGCTGAATTTTCAGCATCACCAGTGTCAGTGTCTTCAGTGTCAAATGATCCTTCACAAATCAGTATAATATGAGGATTTGATGCTCAAGAAACATTTATTATTATTATCAATGTTGAAACAGTTGTTGGTCTGTCAGTTGCACAGTTGTTGTTTTTTTTTTTTTTTTTTGATTCTTTGATGAATAGGAAGTTCAAAAGAACAGCATTTGTTTGAAATAGAATCTTTGTAACATTATAAATGTCTTTACTGTCCTTGATAAATAAAAGTATTGATTTCTTTCCTCCAAAAAATAAAAAATAAAATTCTCACTGACCCCAAACTTTTGAACGGTAGTGTATATTAGAAGACCGTTTTCATATGTCTTTCTTTTGCTCACTAACTGGCAAAGCTGGAAAGCTCATGCTCATGCGTTGCGATGTCAAATTCGTGAATGATTCGTTCTTTTGAATCGGATCTTTTCAACGAATCGCTGATCCGGTTCACAAAATCATTCTGAACGGACAAAATCGGTCAGAGCGGTTTTCGAGTCAACATAAATCCGATAACTGCATGGACATGAATCAATATGTTATGGCTGATTACTTAGTGAGCTGATGGTATGCGTTTGGTGGGAAAGGAGGATTGATGGGGAATGTTACTTTAATAGATAAATAACAGAAATTACACATGTATGCGAAACAAAGCAGCATTTAAAATTATTTAAGTAGTAACATTTGTTTAAATTAATAGTTAAAAAACAGAAGAAAAAACATCGTGTCTGTAGCTAATCTGGGATGCAGAAAGGATATATTTACGCGCCGTGAAAAATTATCGTGTTTTGAAGTGGCAAAGAATCGTTCAAAAGAATCGATACGCGTAAATGAATCGGACTTTTCCGTCACCACTCATGCTTTAAAACGAACTCGCTCTCGCTGCAGAAAAACACATCGCCAAACGCGTAATCAGTGCATTTAAAATTAGTGTTAAACTGAGCATGCATGATGAGGCTGAGGCTGAGCAGGTGCACTAAACAAAACCAACATGCTGGACGTTTTTCTTCGTTATACATTTAATATGCACGTTTAGGAAGTTTTATTCAGTTCCATCGACAGAAATAGGAATATTAGTCTAGCCAAGATTAAAGTAGAATTGCACAAACCTGAATGGTGTGAATGTAGCGTCCACTCCACACCGCTGTTATTAAGAGGCGTGCATGGCTGCTCTCCTCCGCGCTGTTTTCATATAGGACACTGGTCGCTCGACCAATCAGAACACTCGTCACATATCTTTACGCTTATGAATTGAAAGAACGAGTGCAATTGGTCGTTTTTAAGGAAAATTTACAAACGCACTGTCGTGATCAACTGCGATTTTCACAAACGACTAATGACACAATGAAGCTCTGTTTTTTTTTTTTTGTGTGCACCATGAAGTGAATTATAATAAATTAGTTATAAAAGGACTGAGGTTTATTTTTAATTCTCTATGCATTAGCCTATATAATTATTTTTAACTATTTAGTTATTTTAATGATATTATAATGTGTACTGCGCATCAGTAAATATGCCTCTTTGTTGACCACCAACACTAATCGTCTAACTAACATATATTTGTAAAATATTTAATAACAACATTTTTTTTGTTTTATAGTAAAACTCTAAAATGTGCTGATAGAGAATGAACAAGATCTGAGAAGTCTAACAAAAAGCTTTAATTGAATATTATGGTTACACTTTATTTTAGGTGTGCGTGTTACAGTGTAATAATGCATTTAAGTAGCTACTGTGTAATAATAATTAACTACATGTGCACCATGGGTTTGGTTATTATACACTACATGTAACATGTAACAAGGACACTGTAATAAAGTATTATCAAAATGCTTTCTTTCTTTCTTTCTTTCTTTCTTTCTTTCTTTCTTTCTTTCAACAAGCATTTAGTTGTACTTCTGCAAATGACAATAACGTGCTAGTGAGCAAGAAGGCGCCATTCAATCACAGTAGGCTAGGCCTATTTATTTTTAAGATATGCTACATTTATTAAGGGGGGGGAAACAAGAAAAGCTGTTTCTAAAGTTTAAATCATCAAGTGGTTAGTTCTATATTGTATTTTTGGTCAATATTTATGAATTTTAAGGATGTTCTATTGTGATGCCCGAACAATGCTGAATGTGTCTCGTGTGAAGTGATGCAGAGGAGACTCACGGTGGCGCGCGAAGCTAAAGGATTGTGTGCGTCTCTGGCCCGGGGTCACCACGGGTCACCGCCTCTCGCATGACAACACGTCGTCTGGAGGATCAACATTTTTTCCCATCAACGTAGGAATTTCAAATCTCGCAAATGTGCTACTGGACAAATGTTTATAGTGTGTGTAGTAGCCTATGCCTTGTACTTGCAGATGAATTGCATCTACAAAAATAGCTGATAGCTAACTAAAAAGAGCTAATTAAACTAATAAATGTTGTCTGAATCAAACAGTCTTACGAAAAACAATAATACATAAATACTCGTTACTAATAGATGTCATTTAAAATTTAAAAATTATTTTCAAGACATTTGAAGTCGACGTGATTTTGTTAATCGTGTTATTGTTAAGTTTAGTTCATCTCTCCACACGATGGCGCTTTCAATCTATTTATAAACATATGCAAACAGCATCTTGGAAAAAATTTTTTAAGCAGTTCGTTTTTTTTAAATCAACTTCTGGAAAGGTCATATATGAACAAATATCCAATACAATAAATTATTTATTTATTTATTTAAATACTGTAATCAGAGAAAGAAAATAAAAATACCCAGAGAAAGAAAAGTGTAAAGGCAGTAGCACAGGGCAGGATTTATTTAATCACTCTTAAAAAGATTTGCCCTAGCAACCCTTCACACAAGCGAAAGCATCCCCTCCTGTCCGAAAAAGCCCAGATTGGTTAGTGTGTCTGTGAAAAAGTCTTAGGTTGGTTGGGAAATAAGGCGAACTGTACTGCTGTAATCAGGGTGACATGCATGACTGCGCTCCTCTAATTCTCTTTCACATGGACAGATCCTTACAGACAGAGTTCAGCTTTCAGGTAGCCTCTCTTTAAGACCGGGATCCCCATACAGAAGCGTGTTTGGACAGCTTTAAACTCTTATATGCCACAGCAATAAAACATTGATACGACAATTAGGAGAGTTTATGACTTTTATCGATACAAACTCATTTAGAAAGACTTTTTTAAATTAACTATTTTAGTTCGTTTTGTAGCACTGTAGTTTAAAAATTAGCATTATTATGACTTTATAGCATTAAATAGCATTGTGTAAGTAAAAAAAAAAATCTTGTCATTCACAAAAAAATCCTGCCATTGAGACGACTTTCAACTAGCTGTTTTGCAGCTTATAAATATGACTGTCATAAATATTATTATTATTATTATTATAAAGACGTTTAAACTGTAACCTACGCACTTATTTTGTAGTTTTTGCACTTAATATTGAGGAATTTTATGATAATAAATATTATTTTTGATTTTTTTATATATATATATATATATTTGCATAACCTATACATATAACGATACGTTTTTCTTGCGTAATACGTATTTTACGCAATTTGTAAGAAAATGCATCAGGAATGTGTAAAAATAAAATTAGGCATTAGAGAAATACAATTATTGTTATAGTCTTCTTATCGAAAAGAAAAATACCAGCACTAAATATGGGATGAACTTGTTGGGTACAAAAGATGCTTCTGTTCACGTTTTCCAGCTTTGTGCATTCTATTTTTTTCTTTTGTAGAGCTTTTCCTTCACAAAACAAACATGTATGCAGCATATCAGTTTATTCTTAAGATATTAAAATACTTTCATCTTTTTGTACTGGATTGTTTGGTGTAATGTTGGGCGATTAAATTACATTGTGATAGGAGAAAATTCCGCTGACGTATTGCTCTTCTTCAATGCACAACGCACGTTTACAAAAACAGATTAAAAATGGTCACATTACAGAACTTCAGAATCCGAAAGTAAGTTAAAACGTTTTGTTGTGTCGGCTCCACAGAGTTTGCATAAAATGTTGTGGTAAATTTAACAATCAAAAGTAATGGGATTTTATGCTTTAGTCTGTTTCACTTGTGCTTTTCTTTTGCGCGCTATAGTATTAAAAAGTCTCCATTGCTTTGGCTTTCCAAAGAGCTTGAATTCTTTAAAAGAAAAAGAAAAAATCCTCACATCTTTGATTTTTCCCTCCACGATTCAACACGATATCGCACTTTAAAGCGTAGCCAACCTTCTGGATTAAAACGTTCCCAGTGAAAAAAGCAGAAGATCCAGGCGTTTTGGCGCATGAAGTCTGAGTCTGGGAGTCTGGGCGAACACAATAAACCTGTTGTTAACCTTGCTGTGAAAATATGTTTGATGAAAACAGCCAATTGTTGTATGAAATGTATTCAAGTATAAAATAATGCCCTTTGTTGGGCACAAACTTGAGCAATGTGGGGGTACAAAAGTCCCCTGTGGCATGAATTGCGCTTTGGCGTCGCCACTTGGCGCGTTACCCAGACCCCTCTATACGCGATTGTTTCTTTCTTTCTAATGACATTTACCGGATCAAAACATGCTGTTAATTCGATCAGAAAGCTTCACCCTTCACAACAATACCAGAATAATTTCTTCCAAAGTTTGTTAAGTTGACCGAAATTAGGCAAATGAATAGGGGTCTCCAGGCGCAGGTGACGGAGAATAATGCGCGTCAGGACCAGCTGCATTCTTCTTTATTTCTCCTTTTCTTTTCTTTCACTGCATTATTAAAATTTAGGCCAATGAAACTATTCATTCCGCTCAATAGACATTTTCTTATAGGATAATAGGATACAAATTGAGCCCCTCTGAAGGGAATCCAGCGGTGGGTAACCCTCGTGTGCCAAAGACTGCTGGAGTCTCTAACATGGTCGGAGGGGCCGCTCGTGTGCCAGGCCGGGTCCCCACACCTGCCGAGGCCCCTAACAAAACTAGAGAATGTAAACAAAAACCCGGCCGTAGCCCATGAAAGATGGACGTGTCACCAAGTCGTGTGAGAAACGCGGCGAACAAACGGGGGGACTCCGTCTCCAAAAGGTCTCCCCTGAACTCGGCGGAACAGCCTATTATGTGCTTACTTAATTACTATAATAACAGTAGACAGGCTTTAAACCTGAGACGGGCTTGGGATGGAAGTTAAGATCGCTTGCTGGGACCCATAAACAGGCGATCGTGTGAGAAACGCGACGTGGAACAGAAAGGGACGCCTTGCTCCATGGGCTTTGTTTTCATTGCGCGCTCTGCGCTCGCTCGTGAGCCACATCCAGCAAGGCCTGTTACTATGCAAATAATATTCTACAACCCATCACGTGTCTTTAGATAGGCCACGTGGATTAACAAAATAGGTCTGCCCCCCGCTAGCCCACAGCTTCAGGTTTTACTATTTCTTTAACTGATCCTAAGTGCACACATTAACCAAAAGCTCGCCTTTAATCCTATGGAATAATTTAGGGCCATGAATGCGCGAGCGCTTTATAAGCGGCTGCCTCCAGTCAGCTCATCTCAGTCTAAAGCGTCTAGAAAGAGGAGCGCGTACATAGTCTAGCTACAATATTTTCACAATTTCACTATCATTTTTGTCGTAGTTTTAACCAAGCGATGGCGTCAAAGATGAAGGATCGCAAGGTATGTGGACACTTTGGTTGCGCACACATGATTCCAGACGATGAATGCAGACGATGGCCTCTCTCAATGTTTATACTATTTATTTTTATTTTTTTATTGGTTGAGTTTTTTTTTGTTTTGTTTTTCAGATTGACATAATATTAATATTTCCTACTTAAAAGGTCATTTCAGCTTTTGGTTGCGCGCAGTTTTAAGAATAGGCTAAACCATGACGGGATGGGCCTACTGTAGTGCTGTAGTGCTAGAATGGTTGATTCTCCTGGTCTAATATTTCATGTAAGCCAGTGGTTCATTCTAAATAAATGAATTATATAATTTCACTTGGTTGCGATGTAAAAGCGTTTTACGCCCTGTTTCGGATAGATGTTTTGCGCGCGTGCAGGGAAGCAAAGCGCGGCACTGCTCTCCACTTACAACTTATTGCTAATCAAGTAAAACTTACTGCAGTATATTTTATCGACCGAATAGATTATCCTCCCGAGTTTCATTCATGTAACTACCTATCAGTTGATTGTTTTTTTTTTAT